ATATGATGCTTTCAAAGGTTCTTTTATATAATTTCATGTCTAAAAAAGGCTGATTGATTTCGTCGTAAGGGTGCGTCCATTAATCACATGATCGAGTTTTTAAGAATTTTTTGACCCTCTCCAATCCCCTTGGCGATACATGGTGATTTTCAAACTTACCCCGTCTCCACCGAACATACGTGTATTTTTAGTTACGAGATAAAATCGTATTTTTTGAAAATATTGGGATTTAGAAAAAATCAGGTAGTAAAAATAAATAAACAAAAGTGATGTCTCCAACAATTGTCAGGCATCATGTGGAAGAAAGTCTTATCATCCTTGATATGGCTTTTCCAAGTCCTGATATCTTGGTGCATTCTTTTTCCTGCTATTTGACAACATCTCCAAGTCTTCCCAAAAACCGTTCTAAATGAGAGTACTGGCAATGAATTCAAATCCATTACATCAAATACATCAGTTTTTTATCTCTGGTCTCGAAATCCATGACAACATGGTAGGCAGAAGAGATGCTGATGGTTCTAGGTTGTTCACCATTAGCATGGATAGGGGTCGTGGTCGTAAGTAGACCCCATTACCTTTGGGGTATCGTATTTTATGACCATATGTGTTCTATTGCCTAAATTTATTCCATTGATATTTACCACACAGAAGTAACAGTCGTCGATTTCATTATAATGAAATCTTAATTCTGATTCTTTTATATAGCCTCTTGATAATGTAAAGTTAATTATTATTAATTAATATATACAAATTGTTTATAGTCCAGTCATTTAAGCTGAATTTAGGTAAGAATCTCGGAATTCGAGATACCCAGCTGTAAGTCTGTAAATACTTGTATTTTGCGCCCTAAAAGTTGTCTCAAATCTATATAGAAGGGTTTACGCAACATATGTAGGATTTGAGACAACTTTTAGGGTGCAAAATACAAGTATTTACAGACTTACAGCTGGGTATCTCAAATTCCGAGATGAACTTACTATAATGACTATTATTAATAATATTAGAACTGTTACACAAATGTAAATAAAAATAACTTTTATATTTTAAACCTGTAACATTAGAATAGATAACAATAATTATATTTTTGTCACGTATGACAAATGTAACAAACACTCTGTAACGACTTTGGCGTCGGAATTCATTTAGGTTTAATTTACTTAATACAAAATATTCAAGTAAAAATGTAGGTTTATGTGAAATGTACAGTTATACATGTGCATTGTTTGTTCTAACAATTCAGAGTACGTTAGTTACTTTATAAAAACATTAAATATTATGTATGAAAAAATTATTAAGCTATAGATATTTTGTTCGACATTACATATATTTATTACTAGAATCATTATTGCATCATAGCACATTTCCTTATTTATTTCAAAACATTATTATTAAAATTTAATATTCTTTTTAATGAGTTAAACGTATATTTATTAAATTATAATAGTTTTAGATCTACGCATATCTACTACTAGTTCTATGTAATTGATGGTTTGTCATTTTGTTTTTCCCTCACTTTTAGAAATATAATTGTTTAAATTATACTGACAGATTTTTAAGATACACAATGCAGATGCGTTTTACAATCTGAATTTATGGTTTTTTAATAACTAATATGTGGATCTTATATACAGTTAATCAATAGTTGGATAGACTTGGTTCTTAATATAAATATTTGCAGAAATGTTTCATCTTGAGAAAAAAATTCAGAAAGATCTAAATGTTACAGATTGCAATGAAAAATATAAATGTGAAAATTATAATGAAATAAATATATTATTTTATACTAACAAGCTAAATAACAAGACGTTAAAAAATAAAAAATTATGTGTTTATTCTTGGAATTAATACAATGGTTTGCAACTTTCCAGTAGAACCCCTGTTCTTTTACAAAAAATTGTTGCGTTTTTTTAATTTTTTCACAATCTAATTTCACAAATACTTAATTGATATTATTCTTCCTATTATTATTCTATTTTAGTCATTTATCAGACTGCTAATTAATACACAATATTAAATATACCTAAAAATAATTATTTTTTCATATCACTTCAATATTTCTGCTTTATTTTCAAAAATAGTATTTTGGAATCAGCTTACCCCCTTTGCAAGAGCATTTTCTCCACAGATTGGAAATCACCGTATTAATATATCTATATGAAAAATTAAATAGGATTTTGAAATTTTTTGAAAAGTATTATTTTATGCTTGAATCATTGAAAAGTAAATTATAAGGTAATATATTAATTCAATTTTTCGACGATCAACAATGTATTTTATTTATTTGAGTTTATGAAATACTGTAAACTCATAAATTTATATCCTTACTTTCAATTTTTAAATATGTGCCAAAATTAGCAGCTTATTATTGCAGAAAAGCACATTAAGAGTTTAAAAGTAATTTTTAAAAATCTATATTCTGAATTTGATAAATAATTTGTAATGTGAAATGTCTTATTTGTGATATGTTTTATGATATAGTTGAGACATTTTACTTAGAGTATATGTAAATAACGGTCATACACTGCTCATATGTTAATTTGCGAAAAAATGACGACTGTTTACAATATCGATTTATATTTACATTATAGGGATATGTGTTATATGTATATACAAACACTCACATACACAGACATATATATTAAAATATTTTACATTCCGTTCATCAAATTAAACAAAGTTAATATAGAAATAATTCTTTATACGATTCGACACTTGATGTGTTTCGAAATTTTCAAAACTTTTTCGAAATTTGCCAATCTGGAGCATCCTTTTGTCGTATATTATAATCTAGCTTGCTATAATCCTACCTAGATTTGTCAAACCCAGATCTTGATTTAAACTTACTTGTTTAATAATATATTATTCTAAAATGTTAGTTTGATATTAATTTATTTTTTTTTAGTTCGTTTTCCGTGATCTCTACTACAAGGTGTTGTTGTGACGAGGGACATGGCTGGAACTTTCATCAGGCGGGACATCCCATTTACACTTCCGATTTGTATTTCCATCCCGAAGACCCGGAAACATTTTTGGTGCACGACGAAGTTGATGAACAGAAAACGGTAAGATTTTATAGATACAATTATAATAGATATAAATGATAAAATTCGATACAATATTTATACAAATGCACTATGTTTTGATAAACGTTTTTCGAAACCAATCAAGATCTTCTTTGCTGTTTGTTTGTCTGTAAAATTGATAATCAATTGCTTATATTACCTGCAGTAAGATTTTATAAAAATGTTTTGAATTTTGTGTATTTTAATCCAGCTTACTGAAAAATATTTATTTTTACAATTTTTATCGAATAAAATCATTAACAAAATTTAATGATATGACTTATAATTAGTTAATGATAATAGGGTACGTTACATATTGTACAGCATTAATAAAAATGTATTTTAAATATTTATCATTAGAATGAGAATATTTATTAAAAATGTTTTTTATATTTTTAGTTGTACATAACGAGAAATTTTGGAGAAACATTTACACCCCTACAGAAGTATGTGAAGTCATTTGCATGGTCTTCAGGTTCTTCATCTGATGCATCAAATTATTCAGGTGGATCCAGGTAATAAGTTTATAAGTTTTTATATTTTTGTTTCTAGAACGTAGCATTTTCTCAACATTTTTCTGTTTTTTTTTTTTCAGTAATATTTTATATAGAATGTATCATTTTTTCAAACAATTTGCTATGTTTCTCTCAACTATATTTTAACATTTTATTGCAGTAAATATAAATTTCAGAAACTTATTGGCACAAAAAATATAAATAATATTTTTATGTTTTAAGATTTTTTATAAATCAAATAATATCAACTTTGTCAACAGCATAAGTCTCTTAATTTGTTGCTTTCTTATGTGTCAAAATTTTATTTTGGATATTGTTTCGTTATCATAATTATATTGTAAATATTTGAATACAAAAACGAGTATCTTTCAAATACTTCACATACCATTTTATGATGTTAATTCTGAACCATTTATGAAATATTTTAATCACATTGCTGAAACTATACTTTACTGCTAAATTTAGTATTTACATATTTATTTTTCTATATGGAAAAAGGTTAGACCTACTAATATAGTGCTTACTCTTAAAGTTCTTAGCAGTATAACTATTCTAAAATATACGGTCACTAAACAATTAACTCAAATATTCAAAAACTTAAATTTTTTACGATAACACAAAGAAGTAAGCATACATTTTCAGTGTTCATTTTTATAATTTCAGAATGACTTCTCCTTTGCCTTTGCTATTATATATTGAAAGAGCAGAACCAACGGACACAAGTACTGTTCTTACTGTGACCGCATTATCCCAGACAAATGTGTTGATTGGCAATGTCCAAGATTTCTTAGTTAGAGGAGACTTTATGTTCGCCACCAGGAAAAACAACAAGGTACAATATTTAATAAAACTATCATTTCAAACCAATGTTTGGAACTTAAACATAATACTATTTTTTTCCAGAACAATCTAGAACTACTGATTTCATATCGAAGAGCCCCTTTTGTAGTAGCTCATTTTTCATCAGAATTGAGCTTTCTAGCCATCCATGTGGCTGATGTGACAGATAGAAGACTGATGGTAGTGGGTGTTCATGGTGACACTGTAGCTCATCTCTATGTTTCTGAGAGCAATGAAGATTTCTCTAGAATTAATTTTGTTTTAAGCTTAGAAGGCATTTTGTGCCATGTTCCAAATAGTACGTGGACTGACACCTGGCTGAGGTAAGATAATTAAACAAATATACAAATTTCTTTATAAGAACAACATATTATAGTATAAAGTTTGTTTTTTTACAAAAAATATTAGTCTATATGTGTATGTATATTGCTATAACACATGTCATAGGTGGATATGAAGAATTTTTTTTACAAAAAATATTATTCTATATGTGTATGTATATAGATATAACACAATTCATTGATATGAAGACATTAAAGTCTTGCTAAAATTTTTCTTGTTGTCCATTTAGGATACATATAAAAAACTTTAATATTGATCAATCATATACTGTTTTTACAATTAAGATATATGTACTTATATCATCATTAATAAGTAATATAATTTTAATTTATGTCTTATTTTCCAGTGATATAGCAGAAGAATCATTTGCTGACTTATACCGTGTTGAGGGTCTTCTTGGAGTCTATATTGCGTCCCGCGTTCTTTCTACTTCTACATTCAATAACAATGCCACCAGTAGAGGCAGAACTCAACCAGTTATATCACCAGAACATTTATCCAGTGTGATAACCTTCGATCATGGTGCCACTTGGCGACCGATTTCTCCACCGCGACGAGATGACGATGGACATCCAATCAAATGCGACACCAACCTGGGATGCTCATTGCATTTGACTCAGAAATTCAGTCAGTTGTATCCTGTTACTAGATCGGTAATAAAGAAATCAAATTACAATATATATGTATGATTTTATTTCAAGGGTTTTCTGTAGATTACTTTTTTTTTATAGAGTGCACTAACTTGCTTCTATTTTTATTTTATCTATTGCAGGTTACAATACTCAGTTCCAAGTCCGCACCCGGCATCATTCTCGCCGCTGGTGTTATCGGACGCTCTTTAAAAGGTCATCCTGGTGTATTTTTAAGTCGAGATGGCGGTCTTACTTGGAAGCAAATTCTGAAAGACTATTATTTCTTCAATTTCGGTGACCACGGTGGCGTTTTAGTCGCCGTGAAGTATTTTAAGACGAGAGGCGAAACGAAACGTCTTTATATTCTACTGATGAAGGTGATACTTGGAAGAGTGTCGATTTCCATTCAAAGGATTTGAGAATTTATGGTTTGATGACGGAACCAGGGGAGAATACTACGGTTTTCACTATGTTTGGTTCAAGCCCTGGTCTACATCAATGGCAAATTATAAAGGTAATAAAATCTTAGTCAAAATACATACTTTGATTGATCATATTTAACATAAAAACGTACATGACGAAATTGACATTATATATTTCAATATTATCTCTTTCTTCTTAGGTTGATTTGGCAGCCGCTTTCGACCGTATGTGCACGCCCGAAGATTACAAATTTTGGGCTCCAGGAGGTCTTTCTGGTGTTTCAGAAATGGCATGTTCTATGGGATCCAAAGATACTTATCAACGAAGGATACCAAGGGCTAATTGCTATAATGGCAAAGATTACTCCAGACCGGTTAATAAAGAAGTTTGCGAGTGCGGAGCTCACGATTTTGAATGTTCTCCAGGTACTAATTATATTATTTGAGAAATATTTCTTTTTAACATCCCGTAGAGTAAGTTATTGTAATAGGCCGAAATCGGAATTGAAAATTTTTACATTTCTCGACGTTTTGAAGGTTTCTGAACATTTGGCATACTCAGAAAAATGGATGTGTGTGTATGTATGTATGTATGGATACAAATTTTCGCCCACGTTTCGGGCGTACGGATCAACCGATTTGAATGGTTTAAAAAACATTCGATTCCTATTGATAAGGAGATGTGCTGATTAGTTTTTGGCAAAGGCAGGTCCAGCAGTTACGGAGATAAGGAGCAAAGAGTGCAGAAAATAGAAATCGAGTTTTTGAGAGAACGGAGCATCCGATTTGAATGATCTAAAAACATTCAATTAGTAATGATTGGGAGAAGGGGTTATTAGTTTTCGCAAAGGCGGCCTAGCCATTTCGGAGATACAGAGCTAAATGTACAAAAAATGGCAGTTTTGAGAGAACTAAGCGTCCTATTTAATTGATTCAAAGAACTTTCTGCTTGTCTTAACAAAATAATTGATTTTCCAGAAGTTCCAGCAATTTGCCTTAAGACACGATGCCGTAATGCCTTAAGACAGAATTCCACTTACAGCAAGTTTGTATGTCTATTAATTGCTAAAACCATGTTTCAGGCTTTACTCGTAGTAGCCAACCGTTCCACTGCATAAAAAAACCTGAACTATCAGAGGATCCGTTTGCTGTTCCCGCCACTTGCAGACCTGGACAATTTTATAAAAGGACTAAAGGTAAAAAACTAAAAAAATATTAATTAGCACTCTTAATAAATTAGAAATCTCACATTGATTGATTTGCATATAATATCACTTTTTTTCTTCTTACAGGTTATAAAAAGATTGATGGAGATGTCTGTTTGGGCGGTTATGAGTACCTCTATGAACCAGCAACAATACCGTGTCCATTTGCTCCAACAAGAGAATTTTTAGTTATGGCTCAACGAGAGAAAATAATTCGCATAGATTTATCTGCACCAACTAATGGCACCATATCAAGGACAGGAATAGAAGTTTTTCCTGTAGATGGTTTGAAGAATGTTATAGCAATTGAGTATGATATGAAAAATGATTGTGTTTATTGGGCTGATATTGTCAATGATACAATTGGAAGACAGTGTTTGAGAAACGGAACTGAGGAGAGAGAGATTTTGGTGGAGACTGATTTAGCTAGTGTTGAAGGTGTGTATTTGTAAAATATTCAAAAATAACTCAAATAAAGTATTTTATAAACATATTTCTATTATATTCTTTCATATGTATGTCATAGGAATGTCATTGGATTGGATATCTCGATTATTGTACTTTGTTGATGGAATGAGACAAAAGATTGAAGCGATACATATTGATACAAATGCTTTTGGACGATTCCGGAGAACTATTTTGGATTCAAAGGTTCTTACAAAACCTAGAGGTAGAATACTTTTATATTTTTAATTGCTTTATTTTTATAATTTTGTACTATAATTGCTACTGTGTATTTTAAGTTATAATATATTTGTTTAATTTTTTCTTATCTAAATTAAATTTATTTTATTTATTTATTTGTTTTAATGATTTCAGGTATTGTTGTACATCCAGTGGCTGGCTATATGTTCTTTACTGATTGGGAGCCAATTTCCCCATCTATTTCAAGAGCAAATCTAGATGGAAGCGAAGTAACTCGGTTGTTTACTGCACCTGTTGTTAGTTGGCCCAATGGCATCACTGTAGATCATATCGGTATGCAAAAAATATTTTTAAATAACACTACTTAATAGTTAAACAATAATAAAATGTTTTTTACATTTAGTAACATTAATTGTTTCTTTATGTTTGTGATTTGCAGTGTAATAGAAAGTAAAAATATAATGGAAATGGAGTTTTGACAAAATTTTTTAAATTTAATTTTGTTGCCAACATATATTAAACTTTTATATATGACAATATATATTGTAATTTGATCAACATGATATTAAAATTATCTATCAAATGGTGGTCTATTTGGATTTGGGATTTGCAGTTCCATAAAAAGTAAAAATATAATGGAAACTCAGTTTTGAGAAATTTATTAAATTTAATTTTGCTGCCAACATGTATTAAACTTCTATATATGACAATATATATTGTAATTTGATCAACATGATATTAAAATTATCTATCAAATGGTGGTCTATTTGGATTTGGGATTTGCAGTTCCATAAAAAGTAAAAATATAATGGAAACTCAGTTTTGAGAAATTTAATTTAATTTTACTGCCAACATATATTAAACTTCTATATATGACAATATACATATATTAATTTGATCAACAATAATATTAAAATTATTGATTAAGTGGTGGACTCTTTAGATTGCATAACTATGAATAAACTAATGCATCACAGTTTAATATATTTTTTTATATTTTTATCAGCTGAACGCATATATTGGGTGGATGCTCAAGAAGACTATATTGCCAGTAGTGATTTGCATGGAAAACATTTTGAAAAAATTATGTCTGAAGAAGAACGAGTTACTCATCCATTTGCTGTAGCTGTTTTCAAACACACCATGTATTGGGATGATTGGAAAACCAGTGCTGTGTACAGTGCAGACAAAGATCATGGATTACAGGTAAACATATTAATTACTGTAATCTTTATTATTAAGGCATTAAAGCGTGATAAATTTGAGAAACCAATTTAAAGTTGTGATCACAATAATTTTTATGTAATTTTATTTTTCAGGTCCAAACAATTGCTAGAGATCTCCCTGGACTTATGGATCTGAAGATCTATGCCCACTCAATACAAGAAGGTACAAGCGCTTGTTCTCCCATGAGTAATGAGACAAAACCAAAATGCCCCTATACTTGTGTTAGCATGCCTAAAGGGCAATATAAGTGTTTGTGTCCTGATGGAATGGACGATATCGGAGGTAATTTGAATTCAAATTTTTATTACAAATAAAAGTTAAATATGATATAACAGATTAATCTAAATGAAGAATTTTATTTAAGAGATCTTAAGATGTACAGATATTTTAATAATAATTACATTTTGAGAAGTTTTTGGTTTTGAAGAACACATAAGTACAAATTCATGTTTCAAGTGTTTTTTTGAGTTTTTAATAGATTATCTATTATAATCATCTATTTTCTCTTCACACGCTTATCAAAACATATTTATTTATTTTATTTATTTATTTATTTATTTAAATATATAGCCCACAAATTTTTCCAAGAGGACTCAAAAATACAATTATTTTACATAATGAATAACAATTAAAATATATACAAAATTACAATATATAGTTAGTAACATAAAATGCTAAGATAAAATTACATATAATGCAGAATGTAACAATAATATTTATAAACAGAATAAGAAAATAATGAGATATTTGAAAGAAAATAAAAAGATTAACTTGTGCAGATGGAGATTATAACATATATCTATAATATACATTTATTTATCAATTTATCATATTGAGCTTTCTTGTGACATTATTTACCTGTTAGTAATCTGTTGTCTACTTGTTTTAGGAAAATGTTTGTGTCCTGGTGGATCCGCACCTTTCGCTAATAACACATGTCCACAGCAAGCAAATACCTGCCGACCAGACCACTTTACTTGTTCGAACGGTGTATGTATACCACTTTCACTTAGGTGCGATGGTGGACAAGACTGCGGGGATGGAAGTGATGAATTAAATTGCGGTAAGAATTTAATAATTCATAGGTAATTTAAGTTTTTTATTTAATTATTTATTTATTTTACAAGCCGTCGGTATATTTAATATTATAATAAGGCTTAAGTCATTATTTTATAGGTTTAATATAATTTATTTAATTATTAGCTATTTTATTACTAAATTTATTTACTATAAACTTATTTATATTTAGTTAATTATAATTATTTTTAAATATAACTACTTTGTTTGTTGCAAGTGTTTTTAAAAATTTAATAAGTATTTTAATAAGCTTTACAATACTTTTACAATATTAACAAATTTTAGGTTATTTTATGATATTTTAACAAATTTAAGTGTCTTATATTATTGTAATTATTATTATTAATAATAATAATAATATTATCATTATCATTTTTATTATTATTGTTAAATATTTTTACAATTTTTTTTTCTTTTACAAATTTTTAGGTATTTTGATGAAGGAAATATTTTGTTTCACAATTTTAAGTGTTTTTAAAATATAAGTTTTTGGTTAACTAATTATTAAGTATTTTAACAATAACAGTCAAATAAAAAATTAAAATTTTGTTTCACAATTTTAAAGTGTTTTAAATTATAAGTTTTTAGTTAACTAATTATTAAGTATTTTAACAATAACAGTCATATGAAAATAATAATTAGAAGAAAATATATATATATATATATATATATATATATATATATATTTTATAATACTGATTGGCACAGTTTTACCTTTATATTAAGGAAATTTCTAATATTGCTGTGTAGTTGGCAAATCATCATGAGGGTTGACGGTGCTAAATATTATATTATTATTTAGTAGACATTATTTTTTTTAAAGCTTTGGCAAGCAATGCAAGTGGTTGTGGTGTGAACATGTTCCGTTGCCAGGACGGAGGCTGCGTACCACGACATTGGCGCTGCGACTCTGATCGTGATTGCAAAGATGGTAGCGATGAAGCTAATTGTCAATATGCTGAATGCTCTGCTGGTGAATTTAGATGTGGAAATGGAAGGTTAGAATTATTTAGATTCTGCTTATTTACAATGTAGCAAAGAGATGATTTTAACATAGGTTAAAGATATTTTTTTCTGACATATTTATTTATAAATACTTCAACAATATAAATTGTAAATAACTTTAATATAATATTCTTGTTTTGATTAAACATTACAAAATATTTTGATCATTAATAATTACATTCAATGTGGATCTTTAGAGCAATACATTGAATAACATTGAATGTGTGTTCTTGGTCTTTTTTTTCTTTTGTTTGTATTTTTTTTAAATTACTAGGCTTATAAGCAAGTATTATTAGCCATATGCATAATTGCATACTTAAAATCACTTTAAAATAACATTAACTTCTCAGTTTTAATCAGTTGATATTATTTTCCTAGCACTTTTCTTGTTTGATATTCAGTTTATTGTATCTTTATATTCTTTTTTCTTACTTAACTACGTTTTATAATAGAACTGTTTTAGGTTTGATTGACAAAAATAAATAGTTATAGTAAAATTTTTTCTCCTTTTCTTCAACAGTGCCTTAAGCATGCCACTGTTTTAATATAGATGGTTTCTATTTTATTAAAAAATAATATTTTTCCAGGTGCATCTCTTCAAAGTGGAAATGTGATGGCGAAGATGATTGTCGTGATGGAACAGATGAGAAAGATTGCCCATCTCGTGCTAATGTCACATGTAAAGCAGATGAATTCAGGTAATTTTTAAATTACTTTTATGGTTTGTTTTTACTATTTCATTAATTACTTCGAATTGGTTTTTAACTTATGTTGATGTGAATTCAGAATTTATTTTAGGTTCATATCTTTTTCTACATTATGTCTATTGTAGATACATTTTATTATGAATTGAACAAATAATTTAATCTAAATCAATTAACTCAAAGTTGAAAATGTACAAAATTTTATATATTGGATTCTAGTAGAGTAAATGACCAGATTTAGATTTAGTAGGATTAGTTTTGTTACAGTTACAAAAACTACAATAATATAAAACCAAAACGTTCAGGAAAATAATAAGATTAGTTATATAATGATATCTACAATATAATGATTCAGAGTTAAAATTGATTAATATCTTGATATGCTTTTGCTAGTAAGATATCTTGCATGAAATGTTTAAATCTCTAATCTGGAAAAAGGTGTTTATAAGTTACTTTTATTATATTTGGTGCTACACTATGATAAATGCAGTAAAGTGTCTGTTGGTATGTTTTCACTTTCTATTATCATATTTTTTTTTATTTTTAACAGATGTAATTCAACCAACACTTGCATACCTAACTCTTGGCGATGTGATGCTGATACTGATTGCCCTGATGCTTCTGATGAAAAAGGTTGTGCCAATATTACAATCACAAACAATGGTACTTGTGAAGAATGGCAATTCACATGCGCCGATGGACTTTGCGTTTATGCAACATTCAGATGTGACGGAGCTCCTGATTGCAGGGTAAGATACAATATTTACTTCTCTGCTCTTTATACATTTTTAATTATAACTGTAACATTTGGATGATAAAACACCATATTGGATTTTCTTTTGCAGGATGGAAGTGATGAAGTAAATTGCACTACGATTTTGCCAGCCTTGGGACCAACTTATACAGAAAAGCCACGTCCAAGTTTCCAGTCCCAAGAAAATTGCGTCGATTGGATGTTCAAGTGTGCAGAAGAAAGAAAGTGCATTCCATACTGGTGGAAATGCGATGGGGTCAACGATTGCGCTGATGCATCTGACGAACGGGGCTGCGGAGGTAAATTTATAATTGAAATATAAAAAGGCAATTTTATATACTGTAAAATATATTTAGTTGTTGCCTAATTGTTAGTTTGACACCAGACTTAATGCATTAACAATACAAGATTATAAAATATTTTATGCTAATATCATTTAACTTATTTTTTATGCTTATTGATGAATTCAATTTTAATACTTCATTTTTTTTTTTCTTTATAGACCGAACAGGAATATCATCAACTTTCAGGCCACAGACCACATCTTCTACATCTAATAGGACAGGTCCATCAACTACTAGTAGATGTGTTGACCGTGAATTCAAATGTGATTCTGGTGAATGCATACCCCAGTCTTACGTTTGTGATGGTTATCAAGACTGCAGGTAAAATGAATAACTATTTCTATTTATTTTTTTACATTTGTGCACTATTCAATAACAATATAAATATTATTAGGAGTGGTGATGATGAATTAAGATGCCTTGTGTCTTCAAATAATCTGAGTGGTTGTAGTTTATCAAGTTCTTCAGAAGAATCTAGTGAGGATGGTTCTCATCACAAGGAAACTAAAGGTTTTAGATGTAGAATGGATGGCACTTGCATTCCCAAAGAAGTTGTTTGCGATGGTCACGTTGATTGTCCAGATTCCAGTGATGAACTTGGCTGCTTAAGCCATAATAAAACCGAGCATACAAGTCAAGGTAAGATATTTAACTAATATGATTTTTGAAATAATAAAACTTGGTGATATTATTCGTCGGCGCGAAAAATCTAGAAAATTAAGTTTTATTATTGTTGCAGAAAAACAACCAACTTTGTGTTCACGTGGCTATTTTGCTTGTGCTACTGGTGAATGCTTGGCACAGACCAAATTCTGTGATGGCAAGCAGGATTGCTATGATGGATCTGATGAATCTAATTGTGAAGGAAGAAAACGAGTATACCAGGTAAAATTTACCTAACTATTTATATGATTTACTTCTGTATCTTTATTTATTTATTTATTAATTTTACAAGCCGTCAGTATAATAATATTATAATAAGGCTTAAGTCAATGTTTTATAGGTTTATTATAATATAATTAATTATTAGCTATTTTATTATTTATTTATTATTTAATTTATTTACTATAAACTTATTTATATTTAGTTCATTTTAATTATTTATAAATATAACTAGTTTGTTTGTTGCAAGTATTTTTTTAAAAAATTTAATAAGTATTTCGAAGTATATGACATATTAGTCATATTATTATTATATCACTATCATTTTCATTATTTTTGTTAAATATTTTTACAATATAAGTTTTTTTTTTTTACAAATTTTTAGGTATTTTGATGAAAGAAGTATTTTTTTTTCACAATTTTTTAAGTGTTTGTAAAATATAAGTTTTTAGTTAACTAATTATTAAGCATTTTAACAATAACAGTCGTATAAAAAAAAATTAAAATTTTGTTTCACAATTTTAGGTGTTTTAAATTATAAGTTTTTAGTTAACTAATTATTAAGTATTTTAACAATAACAATCATATGAAGATAATAATTAGAAAAAAAAAAAGTCAATATTTTGTATCTCAATTTTTTAGTGTTTTTTTTTTTAATTATAAGTTTTAAATTAACTAATGTAAAGTATTAAAAGTATTTTAACAATAATAATCATATAAAATTAAAAAAAAATTTTTAGCTATCTTTTGCTAGCTAAAGTTAGCTGTATCTTCCTAATTTGTATAAATATTAATTTTGTTTCAGATTCTCCTTATGGGCGTCGAAGATCGCAGCATTAACTCATCCAGCTTGCTCCTCTACTGGTCTTTACCCAGAAATACAAAAGATGTAAAACTCGAATTCTTACCCTCCATTACCCCCATCTCCAGCAATCAAGAAACATGGACAAACCACACCAGTTGGCTTGAGCAATCTGAACACCGATTTTTGAATCTCAAACCATACACTAATTATAACATGACAGTTTATGTCAGAGTAAAGAAAGTCGACAAAAGTGATAAGAAAGGTGATTCAAATGGTGTAGAAGTTGCGCCTATCAAATTTGTCAATGCCACTACATCAGAAGGCATTCCTGATAGCCCAACTAATGTGAAATTACTTCAACAAAATGGATCAAATATTCAAGTCACTTGGGAAGAGTCTAAGAATGTAAATGGCATTTGAGAGGTTATACACTATTTGTGTCACCTCCTACACCACCAAGACAGGTCAGTTAATAATTTAATTGTATCATATTCAGATTTTGCATTTCTGTATAATTATTATATATATTTTAGTATCAAATACCTGCTCAAACAACATCTTACACTGTTAGAGGTGATTTCAAACCAGCAATGAAATATACATTCTGGCTTGTAGCTCGTAACACATTAGCTTTATCAGAAAACTCTAATACTTCTGAAATTGTTTTTGATGGGGATTCAGTGTTTAGTGATCGCATCAGAGGATTACATGTTGTTAACGTTGCTGGTGATAAAGATAGAGGTATGTCATAATAGTGTTTCATTTCACAGTCCTGAGTAATAGGGCAGTTTAGAAATTAATTCAAATTTAATTTTAATCTTTAATGTTAATATCTTTTATAGGAGTATCGAGCATATCACTGTCTTGGGACCCTGTGAAAAATGTTGATGGCTACAGTGTGCAAAGAATTTTACCTCTTCCATATCCAAAATTGGAACCTGTATTTGTTAAGAAGAACGAAATTGTCATCAAAAACGCTAGTCCTGGAGTTGAACACGCCATTTCAGTATGTCATCTATTTATATAAAGAAAATTCATAAAATTTATTATAATTTATAAGCTTATTAACTTCCCGAAGGAGAAAAAAAATCAAAATTCATCAAAAAATCCGATTCTCTAATTTCATGTTTTCTCGACGTTTCAAGCCATTCTGAATCGAATGAGACCAAATTTGGTAAAAGTATATGTGTGTGTGTGTGTGAACAGATTTTTTGCCGTAAATCGACGTTTTCTCGAAAACGGCTGGGCCGATTTCAAAAATTTAAAAGCCATTTGATGCACCTCGACGAGAACTATTGTTTGTCAGTTTTGTGCGAAGATCGACCAAGCCGTTTCTTTATAAATCGCAGAAAAGTGAACAATTTTTCGTCTACGTTTTAGCCCGCAATTCTGAATCGATTTTGAAAATTCAAAAACCGTTCGAAAGATATTGGTTGGGAATCATGCTGATTAGTTTTTGGTAGAGATCGGCCGGGCCGTTTTCTTGTAATAAAGTTTAAAAAAAAAAAAAATTCGACGATTATTATGATTATTTTTTTGACGGTAGATACCATAGTCTTCTAGATCATACTAAAATATTACAGCCGTACGACAACTGGTTCAGCTTTAAAAATTCGTCAAAGTTTGCAAAAATTGGTATCGTTTTTTTGGCATTTGTCAAAATTAGACTTTTGATCGACGTTTTCTCAAAAACGCCTGAACCGATTTTAGAAATGTACCTACCTATTGTTTGTCAGTTTTGTGCGACGATCTGCCAAGCCGTTTCTTTGCAATTTGAAAAAAAGTGTTTAACTTTTCGTCCACATTTAAGCTCATCCTACCGAACCGATTTTAAAAAATCAAAAACTGTTCGAAAGAAATGAGTTGGGAATGGTACTGATTAGTTTTAGGTGAAAATCTACCGAGCCGTTTTCTTGTAATTACCTGTTGAAAAAAAATTTAAGCCGATTTTCATGAAATTTTTTTTGACTATATACATCATGGTCTTATAGAACTTACTGTAATATTGCGGCCTTACGACTAGTAGTTTAATTTTAAAATTTTGTCAAACTTTGCTAAAATTATTATCGTTTTTTTTAAAGTAGGATTAATGAAGTATATTATTAACTTCCCGTAGGGTAAGTTATTGTAATGGGCCGAAAATCGGAATTGAAAATTTTTACATTTCTCGACGTTTTGAAGGTTTCTGAACGTTTTGGCATACCTCAGAAAAAATGGATGTGTGTGTGTGTGTGTGTGTGTGTGTGTGTGTATGTATGTGTGGATACAAATTTCCCGTCACGTTTTAGGGCGCACGGATCAACCGATTTGAATGGTTCAAAAAACATTCGATTCCTAGTGATTGGGAAAAGAGCTGATTAGTTTTTGGCAAAGGCAGGTCCAGCCGTTTCGGAGATACGGAGCGAAGAGTGCAGAAAATAGAAATCGAATTTTTGAGAGAACGGAGTATCCGATTTGAATGATCTAAAAAACATTCAATTAGTAATGATTGGGAGAAGTGTTTATTAATTTTTGGCAAAGGCAGGCCCAGCCATTTCGAAGATACGGAGCTAAATATGTAAAAAATGGCAGTTTTTGAAAGAACTAAGCGTCCGATTTAAATGATTCAAAGAACTTTCTGCTTGTCTTAACAAAATAATTGATTTTGGGTTTTTTTTTTTTTTTTTTTTTTTTTTTTTTTTTTTTTTTTTTTTTTTTTTAGTATTTTGTATATCGAAAATATTTCAGATTTTATTTTTAATTCTGACTATAGTTCTAATATACTTTAGAAATAATTTCAACTCTGCAATTCGGTTTATATAATTCTTATAAATATTAGACAATGTTACAATATTTATAATAATCTATTTGAAAACATTCAGTATTCCTCGAACATTTCGTTACGGTGCGGGAAGTTCCAGCAATTTGCCTCAAGGCACGATGCCATAATTGCCTCAAGACAGAATTCCACTTACAGCTAGTTTACACATTTTTTTGATTAAGTCGATTATTTACACATATCGGGAAGTTTATGTAACTTGCCTCAAGGCTAAATACCAAACCAACTAGTTATACATTATAATTATTTATTATTTTTTCTAGGTTTCTGCAGTAAGGAAGCAATATCATTCTATGTCTAGTTCCATAACTGTTGCCACTCCAGGAAGAAATTTCCCAGATGCTACAGCTATTCAAGCTCGTCTTATCAAGCCTGCAGCTGGCAGTAAATCAGAAATTGGTGTAGCTAAAGTTACATGGGAGGCACCAGGAAAGGCAAAATGGTGGTATGCGGTTTATTATGGCAGAAACATGCAGGAGCTATTAGAAAGTAAGTAGTGAAAATTATGTTTTATCAATAATTTCAAGTTTTGTTGCTTTGTTTAATTATTTCAAATTAGTTGACTATGCAAGCACTATTTATTCTTGCTGCTTGATACCTTTATCAATTATTACTTTTTACATTACTTTTAATTTTCTAATTTCCATCTTTTTTTTTCCAGAACCTCGTCTCATAACCAAGAACCTAACCGCCACCATCCGCGGATTAGAGCACTGCTCCTCATACTTTATAGCAGTTGGTGTTTTAGCTGGTGATGGTGCTTCAGGAACCTCATCTGGTGACTTGGATAGTTCTCTGGGATCTCTTGGTGCACGATGGGCTCCAGGACCTCTTAGTACAGCTGGTTCTGGCACTCTCGACACACCTTATGATCCAAAAGCTCCAGTCAGGGATTTGAAAGCTACTGTTGTTGAGACTAATGGAGTGGTCAATAGGAAAGGATTGCTCATCACTTGGAAACCAAGCTGTGATGTTATCACTCAACCCGTGGGATATGTGGTAGGAAAAAGATTCTCTCTCTTACTTTAGATTAGGGAATGCAATACCGGTATACCGGTAACCGAATTACCGGTAACCGCCCGATTTTTCGGCGGTATTTTTACCGGTATTTACCCCAAAAATACCGGTATTTTCGGTATTTTTACGTAAGCGCTATTTGATAATAATACACTAAAGTTTAAATTTCTCAGAACAAATTTATCTTTAAATTCTATAATCGCATAAACAGTATGTCCTCAAGTGATTCTATAGGATGAACAAATGTCAAATATTATCTTAACTCGTCATTAAACTGAGTATTTATTGCTTTACTAAGGGCTTCATATCGTGTTACAATAAATAGAATTGGACTGATAGATAATGATGTTTGTTTAATCTTATGTGAAAATGTAACGGTTTTTTAAGTGATATTTCCGCCAAAATATTTTATATCATACAGATTACCTCTGCGTAATCTTTATTTTTTTCTAACTTTGTACGTAATAATTATGATAATTACTAAATATTTTTGCTTCTTATTACAAATATAAAATATTATTTTTCAAAAACGTTTCGAAGTTTGAAAATACTATAGAACCATCATATTATTTTAAATAACAATACTCAACAATTATAGTAACTTATTATTTATCTCAACAAAGTATCCGACGGAAATTATTTTTTAAAATATTGGAGTTTATGCTAATTTAATACATCGGATTATATGCAGATAATACACTTTATTATAATAATGTAATATGATCTTTTATGAGTTTTTGGTCTTTCTTACTCTAAGTTTGTTTTTGGTAAAAGTACTCAATATACTTGATAGTGATAATGAATTAATTAAATTGGATATAATTTTGTTAAATTATTATTTATAAAAATAAACTTATTGTTTTATTTTATTGTTTTTATTGTTTAGTTGAATATAGTTGTAGTTGTATATACATTTTTTTATATTTGTACTAGTAACTTTCAATTTTGTTTACGTTTGTTTAAGATAATAAAAATACCGGTAATTTACCGGTATTCCGGTTTTAAAATGAAATTGCCGAAATACCGGTATTGAAATTTTCTATCGGTATTGCATTCCCTACTTTAGATACATTGAATTTTCATGACTTTAGTTTATGACACTGTTACAAAGATGTTGTTACCATGTATTATAAGTTTTTTAAATTATTAGTATTTTTGTTATCTGTTTTTGTTTACAGGCTGAAATAATAGAATTGACCACCAACGAAACATTCCGCTTCGAATTGGCAGCAGTTTCCAACAGAACGCTTTCCCATCTTGTGGAACCTGTATTATACGGCGCCAATTATCGGATTCTCGTCAGAACTTCTGGTGATGGATTGACATCGAAAGGTCCAGCCGCAGATTCTGAAATTACCGTACAAGGACCCCCATTACCGGTTCCACATCAACTGCAGATGTGGAGGCAGAGGAACAGCTCTTTCTTGGTGCAATGGAAAGATGTCAAGATGCCTGATGAAATTAGTTCCATTAAGTAAGGAAAAGAAGGTTTTTGTTTAAATTAATTTGACAAAATTGAATTAATACCTTCTTGGATTTTTTGCAGATTCAAATATGTGTTGTGGGTGTCGACAGGTAAACAGGTTGATACAAAGACTGGCAAGAATTATACTCTATCAGAATCAACGTTAATTCTTGATTCTTTGGAAGAAGGACAGATTTATTCAATGGCTGTGCAAATCCAAACTGAACAAGGAATGCTTTCTGAATTAAGTGAAGTGGAATCGATTCAAGTACCATTAGGTATGATAACCATTACTTTCTTTTTTGTTAAAGATTATAATGTTTTTTTTTTCAAACCTGACATAATATTTATAGTTTATACTCTTTTTATTTATATATAATAATTGCTCTCATCTTTGATACAAGAAATAGAGGTTGTTGCATTCTAACACTTGTATCTTTTTTCTTTAACAAAAAATCAGTATATTAAAAACAACTGATTCAAAAATGCTTTATTCATAACTTGTAACAGTTCTATTATTTTATTTAGATTTATATAATCCAACAATGAATGTTAAAACAAGTTACATCTAAAAAAAAAAGAGTGCGCGTAAGATCCACACGCGATTGAAGTGAAACTTATTTTGCTAAATAAATACTTCATATAACAATTTTAAATAATGTTTATTAGTAATATGGTAACACTTGTGATGGACACATTTATTAGTGTCAACCATTATACACATTTATATAATGATAAATTATAAATTATATATTTATAATAGCATTAAAAATATGTTTAATATTTAAAAACAATGTCATTAAAGTCATACTTGAAATATGACATGATCGGTTTGTCATTGTAATTAGCATTTAGAAATGAACGTTCATTAGAGAAATGAAGTAATTGATAATTAATAAATTCTATAATATTTATTCACACAGTGGATTATGTTAAACAACGCCTAAACAAATATTGTTTTCGCAACTTCACTCATCATGCATTTGTGTTTGAAGAACTTTATGTGATTAAAATTAACATACATTCATTGACTGCTTGTATTGTTTTACTTTTTTGCTGGCGATATAATTTCATTCTTTGAACAGCTGTAATATCTGTCTTGCCTAAAAAATATTTTCCATTTTAATAACTTCAAAGATTTATAGAAACTACGAATAATATAGGAATGATTTCTAATCAACAAACTTACGTTTAGTTGACGGCACAAATGTTTAATTTGTTTTATTATTTTCGAGAAACGGGTAAAATATTCTTCTGATTCAGGCATTAAATCAAGATTAGTACTATTTTAAAATTCTTATTTATCAATGCCGATTTCCTTGTTGATATCGGTACGCATACAACGTTGATGTCTAATCACAATCGACCCGTATAGAAACGATCGAGAGCGAATGACGAACAGTTCGGGCGTAACGGACTTCCGTTGCATTTGGTAATTTTCTTTTGTTGAAAATAAGGGATGAGAGTAAATGCCTTCTTTTTTAAGCTTAAATCTAGGAAAGGGCGAGTCCAGTTTGACTATTGCTATTCATTCTGTGAAATCCAAACCAACACATAATCAATTCTTAACAAACAAATAATTATCAATTGTGTTAGTAATTCCTGGTATATTCTTAATAAATACAAATTTTTCATGATTTTTCTAGACTTCTGTCATTTGCATTTTAAATGCACCAAATGTATTACCATTCATGTTCTATATTAAGCAAAATATCTTTTACCAGGAACGTGGTCGTTGTTCTCTTACGACGAATCTAGTGGCAATGGCGGTTCCACATGGCGTGTGGCTGCACCAGTATTGATCCTGGTGACTTTAGCTGTATGCACCGCCGCCGCTGTTCTCGTTTGGAGGCATCGAAGGGCGCAGAATAGTTTCACCAGATTCGCAAATTCTCATTACGACACGAGGACTGGTGCTACTACTATTGGCGCAGGAGGAGTTTTAGGTAAGAAAATTTTCAGGGGTAACATTATTATAAAAACATTTTTTTTAACTGTTAAATAATTAACATCTAGCAATATTGATAAATAATAACAAATTTAAATAAATAAGAGTGCAAAGAATAGAATTTACATGAAAATAATATCCGTATTATGATGAGTTAATATAAAATAAAAGCAAATATGAATAAAAATAAAATAATAAATAATATAAATAAAATTTCTGAATAATAAAATAACATTAGAAAAACAATGAAATATAACATAAAAAACATAAAAGCATTTAATTAACTATTGATATGATACAATGCAAATGTGAAGACATTTGGTAGACAATGGTTTACTTTATAATTCTTAAACAATATTTTAATTATTTTCAACAGTTGTTAGCATTAATTATTTATAACTTCAGCAATAATACATTGTTTTACATATGTTTTTAAACATTTTGCAGATAAAGCTTTTACTTTTTTTAGAAAATTACCAAGTTTTTTTGTATTGTAAAGGAAATGTTTTACTGATAAATAGCGTTCAATTGGTTAAAAGATTTTGAATACTTGGTTTCTGATTTGAATGTTGGTCTATAACTTTTAATAAAACTATTATTTCTTTTCATTATATAAATATTAAGTTTTATTTTAGATGACGATGTTCCTGATATAAGGCCGTTCTCCGACGACGAACCTTTGGTTTTAGCGTAGACCAAAATTGTGTAAGCGCTGTATAATAAATCATATTTAAGTATTGTTTTGAATTAATAAACCTATTTCGTTGTTGGCTTCTAAAATCATTTTAAAATATTCAATAATGAAATAAAAACTACGAAGTATTCGATTTTAATATCATTGATTTTAGAGCTCAAGTTAATATTTGTTTTTAAATATCACACTGAATGAATCAATGAATTTAATATAATTATTAATCAAAACCGTTTGTACTAGTTTTTTAAATAGTACCCCACATTTAAATATTAATTTTTAAGTGATAAGTGGTAAAGACAAGGTTCTGTGATTAAATTAGTAAGTAGTTGTAGTGAAATGTTATCAAGTCATACTTTGAGTTGTTAGAAGAGAATGTTGATTTTATGTTTTTTCTATTCATATGCCTGCATACCATTTTAAAAATGTATATATTTGTAAGTTTAACGGAATATAATGAATTGTATGTGCAATTTTCACCGAGGCCAAACAAACCAAGATCTAGGTTGCATTCAATTTGTTACAATATAATGAAATGATTAGTTAATTTGCGAAAACTTTTCTTCGTGTAAATATTGCTAAATTTGGAATGAAGTCTGTGGTCCAAGATACATTTTTCTATTCTAATTCATAGAATTCTAAATTTACAAATTCTTAATTTTAAATGATTCATTTTATGTAGTATGTTATTCCTTGCTTTTTTCAAATTTTATTTTATTATTATTATTATTATAACTTTTTTTATTATCGCACGTTTAATTCTAAATCTATTTCTAATCTTACCTTTTCTTAATTGCATTATTTCTTAGACGATAAAAATAATGTGCTTTGTTAATTTTCTGGGAAATAGTTCCATTAATTTAAATTTGTTTTCTCGGTTTGATAAATATCAATCTAATATCAGTTTTTTTTAATAGATCTTTGGACATGAATATTTACTAGTTTTTTAACTTTTCAATTATCAAATGACTGTATTCATGGTTACTATTAGAAAATTAACTAAAGCATTCTGATCTTTTTGGATATGAAGTGTGAGTTATAATTATAGAATGAGGCAAAAAGAGTTTTTTTCAGTATTTGTAAGTTGATTTTTTTATATTGCTATTGTATAAAATTTTTAAATGAATGTCATTAAGAAAGATAATAGAAGTAATATAGGGATTAGACTGATTGCTTCAAATTTGTACGAAGATATAAATATAATGAACTACTGTATATATTATACTAATTAAAATAATTTACATTACGTTTTGTTATAAATTTAGATAGGATGAAATCTTTTCAGAACGACTAACACCTAGATGATTATATTTTTACAGTTATTGAAATTGAAAAGAATTTTAAAATCGCAATGGAAAAGTGAAGACTGTTCAAGCCCAAAATATAAATTACATTTTAAATCACGAAGTAGAATGAATGTATTTATTAAATCAATTAGAATTAACTTTTTTTCGTTGCAAGAAATGGTTGAAAGTCAATTGTTTAGATTTAAAATGTAAATGTTCTTACATAACAAGTAAAAATTTGATGGCTCATTTTGAAAAATTGCTGAATGTCTTCTCTTCATTACTTTTCACACAATCTTAAAGCAAAATTCTACTTACACCTAGTTATATAAATCAAAGATTCTTGCAGCTTTTTTACTTAATTTTTAAAAACTTTAATGAACCAAAGGCAAATTTTGCTTAT